AGGCAAAGCCGGCCTGAACGTTAGAGGCGCTCAACCTAATCGACTTACAGGGGAATACGTAGCGCCGACTCGCCACGTTTCTCGTACCAGAAACAGCTCTCAGAAAAGTATGAGCTCTTCTTTCCCTAAACTGTGTGTTAGTTAACAGTCATTTATTTAAATAATATATTAACAATTTAATTTTTTAATTAAGTTTTCTGGTCCTAACTTTTAACGTCCGTGTTTTCACGGTGTTTCTCGTTTTAAGTATGTGGGACCCCTGAAAAGGGCTGATTATTAAGCCCTAAAAAGAGCTGATTATGTTGTACGTTACAAATGGCACCCTTATATAAATGCAACTAAGGTGTTCCTCGTTTTAAGTATGTGGGAGCCCTGAAAAGGGCTGATTATTAAGCCCTAAAAAGAGCTGATTATGTTGTACGTTACAAATGGCACCCTTATATAAATGCAACTAAGGTGTTCCTCGTTTTAAGTATGTGGGAGCCCTGAAAAGGGCTGATTATTAAGCCCTAAAAAAAGCTGATTATTAAGCCCTAAAAAGAGCTGATTGTGTTATGTATCGTCAGGTTGAAGTATATGATTTGAAACAGAAAACTCAAAAACTTTTTTTAAAAAAACACGCTTGTAAATAAGTTTTAATCTTCGTCGCTATTTTCATCTATAACTGGAATAATGTTAGTTTTATCGAATAAATGAGTTAAAATTTCGGACGGTTTAACTATTCTGGATTTATAACGCGCATGGGATAAATAATAAATGATCGCGGCGACGTGGGAGCAACAACCCACCGTTCTGTTACCATTCGGACAATCGCATGCATATCGGTTTATACCCGCGTAACTATTTACGTTTGATTTGTATTCTATGTAACAATTGTAAATTTTAGCGTTTATATGTCGCGACCGAACTTTTATTTTTATAATGTTATTGTTTTCTTGTAAATACTGTACATTTAACGCGTCATGTTCGTCCATTAATTCCGCAAGATAACACACCGCTTGAGATAATTGGTATGAACCCGTGAATAATATTTTTAAATTATTTTCGTCTAATTTGGGAAAATTTATTAAACATGTATTAGATATTGTAACAAATGGTTTTTTACGTCGGTTTAATCTTTCTACTTCTATAAATGTTTGTAATGAATTTTGTTCCCGTTGTCGTTCTTTCATATATGAAACTATGTTTTCGGTGAATTCCGCGTCAGAATTTAATCGTTTCCCGAAAGTATTATGCAAAAATCCCGCTATTCGACACACGGATCTTATAGACGGTAACATTTTATTATCAACGATATGATGTAATAACCGATATTTTTGTCCTATGGCTCCATGAACGGCTTCGACTACCCAACGTACTTTTGTTACAAATCGCGATGAATTTGCTTCTTCTGAAATTAATTGGGCCCGATTCCCTTTAAATGCTGGCATTAAAACATTATACCCTTTATCTTGTAGATGTTGTAGGGCATCCCGAAAACCGCGATCAACAATACAAAAGTCACCCGGTCTTAATATTGATTTTATTCCTATGGGATCTTCTAATAATATTTTAATAATTGTAGCATCATTTACGGTAGCGTTAAAAGGCCCTGCTATATCTAATATGTAGCCATTTGTAGTGCAAATTGTGAATGGCTTACACAATGGTACCTTTTTTTGTCCGGAGTACGATTTTCTTTGATATTCGTTATTTTTGCTTTTTTCATGTCTGATATATGTCCCGTCAAATATTATTGCTAATTGTGTTTGGTCAAAATTAAAAAGGTTTTGTGCTACGGGTGCGGTTTCATTTTCAATAAAGTACTGTCGGGATTTAGTATGTAAGCCAAACCGGGTTGGCAAAACATCTTTTTCAAAAGCACAGATTATCTGATGGTAATAATCTGATACTTGTTGTTCCCGTTCTAAACCAAGTATATTTTTTATAATATTATTTGAGCTGCCAGTTCTAAGTTTAAATAAAAATACTACTAAAGCTTGCGTTATGGAACGAGATTCGCTACATCTCATACTAATAAACATCTCCTGAATTTCTTTAATATTTTCCCAATTAAGCCCGGTGAAAGCATATAATTGTTCATTTGACAATGAAAAATCCCCGATCTTATCGTGCAACGAAGAATCTACGTTAATTGCTAATTGATTTAAAAATAATTCTACATCGGATGCTTCTATAAAACTAAAGTTAGAATGTACGCGAAGAAGTTTGAATTCGTCTGTGAAAAATAATTTATTAAGAATGTGCGACCCGCAGCATCGATTACCTTTTGGTATATAAATTCTTTCAAGTGCAAATGTTTGAAGGCGTGCTTCTAAGGGTATTATAATAAGTTGCCCGTTTGAATGACAAAGTGTGCAATACCGGTGCGTAGACGCAACTCTTTTAAACTGTAATTCTATTTTATTACTGTCTGATATCGTACTCCGGCTACTTACCGCGAAGTCTGGGTCCGTTGCAACATTGTCGGTGCCGTCAGTCTCGCCTGTAGTAACTGGTGTCCTGTAGATATTCAATCGGCATCTGTTGCACAGTATAGAACCGATTGTCACGACGCTGCTGCAGTGGGCCTGATACTTCAAGATATCCTCTTCGGTTGTAATGCGCTTCCGCTTTCTGCTCAGTTTATTCCTTGGTACATTACAGTTGACGCAATTGTCAGTACTTCCAATTCCTGACATGTTCTTCAGTACAAAAATGAATATATGCGAGGAAGTGTTCAGTACTCGGCACGTTCGTCCAAAATGTGAAGTATTAAAGAAAGGAACTTCCTTAAATAGGGAAATTGTGTACCAAGGGCGAACCAATGGGTGGACGAGATTTTAAAGTTTGCAAATTCTATCCAATTAACGAGTCCTCTATATTCGGCAACAAGAGGGAAAAGGACAGTGGACACTAAAATCATGGACTCAGGATCGTACGCTTTACCCTTTATGATGCGTCTATTTACACGCCAATTAAGGCTCCGTGACTGCGTAGAAAAGTATCGGGGCATATAAACCGCATTGGAAAATACACCATTTGTACCATAAAACGCGCTTAACTCTTTTCTGGACTCCCATATACTTAAAACGAAGGTCACCTTAATTGCAGCCATTTCCAGGTAGCACTGGTACGCTGTAATATAATTAACCCTTTTCAGGGCGACCATATACTTAAAACGAGGAAAACCTTAGTTACAACTATTCACAGGTACCAGCTACAATTTAATTAACAGTAATACGTACGTGAAAAGGTAAAGACAGAAATAGTTATAGAAGTCTATGTTCTTTACAACGTTGAATAGAATGATATTGCAGTTATACCTGTGATACCTGCTTCGACTATTAAAAGGACAACTAATGGCATCTAACACAGTGCAATTGTTCAAGACATGATATAAATCTGTGATTTAGGGCTCCCACATACTTAAAACGAGAAACACCGTGAAAACACGGACGTTAAAAGTTAGGACCAGAAAACTTAATTAAAAAATTAAATTGTTAATATATTATTTAAATAAATGACTGTTAACTAACACACAGTTTAGGGAAAGAAGAGCTCGTACTTTTCTGAGAGCTGTTTCTGGTACGAGAAACGTGGCGGGTCGGCGCTACGTATTCCCCTGTAAGTCGGTTAGGTTGAGCGCCTCTAACGTTCAGGCCGGCTTTGCCTTATGAAAGGGCGTTGCATTGGTTTTATTTTTTTTTAACTATGATGTACCAATCCGACACTCTTGAAATTTTTACAGATAATAGTTAAATAGTAAAGGATTATTCTTAATTTTTTCGGTGGGTGTCATCCAAGGGATTGTTTATAAAAATCATTTTCAAAAATTTATTTATTAATTTTCAACCCTTAATCATCGAATAAAAATTTTGAAAAAAAAAATATGATATACAGCTAATGAATACCTACTATTTGCACTTTAATGTGATCAAATATCTTAAATAGTTTCCGAGAAAAAAAATGGTAAAGGTTTTGGGTTTTACCCTCATATCTCCCTTATCAGAGGAGGTAGGAGGTTGAAATTGCACACAATTGTTGTTTAGGCAAAAAGCATTATGTGGTATAAATATCAACCGAAATTGTTGCTGGGGCCGAGTCACTATGCTTATACGGCTAGAGCCTTTACGACTCTCTTAGAGTGCATGAAAAGACAGGATATCGAAAAAGACTTCGTAGCTTTTTAGGACCGTTCGTGACTTGGTCGAAAACAACGAATTGGCTATGGTCTATCATAAATTAGTCTTTTAGGAATTTTCGAAGTGAAACTATTCCATTCTCTGGACTTCCGGCCTTCTCTCAGCTCGATCACCCACGTTGAAGGGTTTACAATTTAATCTTTGTCTATTTATATAAGTGTATGCACAGATGATGTTTGAATTTGGCTCTTAATTTATGACCATCGATACAAAGATCCTCGAAGAACATTCAAGACATATCGATACAATAGACTATCGATAAATATTCCCATGGCAGTGTCGCCACACCACTCTAAACATATTCACGTGATAACGTTTCACGTTACAGAGATAAAAATTGCGCGGGAAAAGAATTGGCAGGAATACCAACCTTGTACGCGCGTGGATGATGGAGGAAAAAGAGGGAAAAATTAAATTAAATTGTTTTCCCCAAACAACGATATGCAAATTAATAACATACAGAATAAGACGAATTGAACGAGAAATATAACTTGTTATGATTGCTAAATGTTCAAAAATGTTTATATTACGAATAAATTAACGCAGGTGAGTCCGATCCGTCATTTTTTTGTCCGTGGACAAACACCAATTTCAATATTTTATAACTTTTTGACGATTTGAATAATATAAGGACCTGTTAGATATAATTTTCACGAGGCGTGTTCGATCACGGTTCTGGGATAAGTGCCATGCCGTTCCTCATGGTCCTCCTACCAGAAGATGCAAGATCTTCCCCACTCTGTGGCCAGATCCTTCTAGAACACCCTTATCTTTTTACACGTGCCATGCAGCACCATGACTTCGGGTCATCGGCCACACGCGCGTTCCTTCGAGGATCGGCGATCGAACTCTCTATCGCCGTTCCACAAACAAAACATCCGCGACTCTTAGAATTCGTCGCACCTCAAGTATCAACTACCGCCGGCCTAAGTCCGATGACAGACGTATGGCTCGGGGTGTCGATAGTTTAAAGAATCCTGAGAAATCTTTGAAAAGCAGGTCCAAGCCCCAAATGCAATGACCCTGCCTCGTGTCAACCTTTGCACACGTGCTGACGCTAACAGACCAGACTACCATTCTTTAGGGCCTCCTGAACACGTCCCTCAAATTTCTTTGTAATCTGTTCAGCAGGAACGAAAAATGGCGTGTTCTACGTTGTAGGGATATTTCTATGAACTGTCGGTAAAGTTTTCAACGCTAGCATCACCTTATTTGCATCGATTCCCAAAAGTAGAGTTTGAAGAGCCTGCATGCGGCCTAAGCCGAAACGTACGTCCATACTTGTCTGGCATTGACAAATCGTTTTGCCGATCGGTAAATATCAACTCGATGGGAACGCAGCTTTAGTCAGCGCTCCCACTCCTTGCCGTTGCTACGTGCGTACCGTCCTTGCTTGATTGCGTTTCACAAAGACTCTCCACTGGCAGCCATTATTCTTCTTTCGGCTGCGCTACGGATGCAATCGTAATATGTCGTGCTCTGTGTTATTATACCAAGTGATAATGAAACGTGTTGCTGCTTCTAGGTACAGTAAAATACTAATCATACGAACTTCGTACAAGTGTTAAAGACTTCTTAATACAATTTTCAATTCTTTTCTTCCAGCTTACTAACGTTGCGCTTTTCACAGCGACAGCATCTCAACAAGCTCGTAATGCATCACAGTGACTAAATCGTGATAAGTGACAGTACCTATCCAAAGCGCTATGCAATTTTAGCGTATAACACGCTGAAATCAACATTGCTGATCAACAGGTACCGCTGGTTCATTGTTTCTTTTAGTGGATTTGTATAAAATTTTTCTTTTTACAACTTAAAGAACATTATTCTAGAAAGAAACACAAACGTGGCAGACCTGCCGGTTGCCGTGCAGTGTAGTATTTGGCCCGAAAAGTCAGAAAATGTCGGTTTCAAAAATTTTTTGTAAATTGCAAAGTGTTTATTAGTAATTATCGATATCTCGTCAACCCCACCGATTTCGCTCATTTTTTAATATGTTGTTGGGATAATAATTCTAAGCAACTTTTCCGATCGCCACTCGGTCTTAGTATTTGAGATATTTTTAAAAAACTGTCGAAATTATCACATTAAATTCTGCCAATCCGTGTAGATGGCATTTATCCAAAGGATCTCACCGGGTGCTTAAGGTCGATTTATATTATCCGATAAAAGCAATGTAGTATTTATTGGGATCGGCGGTCGTGACGTCATAAAAGTAAGATGGCCGGTGAAAGTAGGTTGTAATCTGTAGTCCGTTGTATCTTTCATACGGTGTAGACGTTTAATTTTAAAATTACCTACTTTTTATCAAAACAATGAAGCTTTCAATAAGTGAAATATGTAGTTTTACAAAATCTACACCTTCGTGTCGTAATTTCATCGAAGGTGAGAGGATTTTAAACGCAGAGCATTTAATTTTTTGCGGCAGAAAAACTGTCAATGATGACGGTGTTCATTTTATTGCGTTTTGTTTACAAACATCGCATTTGAAAAGTAATCCTCATGAGTTCCATACGTTTTCGACGATTTGCCAGTCGAATTTGTCTTTTATCGACCTTGTTATTCGGACTTCCAGCAGTCTCTATACTAGATTGAGGCAAATTAAGGCTGTAGTTCCGAATACGACCGGTCACCGATCAAGATGAAATTTGGAGGGTTGGTTGGGAGCAGGTAGACGACCCCAAATATAAAGTGGTATCTTCGGCTTCCTATTAGTTTCCGAGATAGTAAACAACAAAAGATATAAAAAAATAGTTGAAATAAAAGTTATACCGTTTCTTGAAGTCTATAAAGCTGCGTGTAAGTTTTTTTTTTTTAATCATTTCTTTGCAAAATTGAATTCCCCCTACCCCTCCGTTTTGAAAAACTTTATTTTTTTTTCAATCAATAAAAATGTCTATTTATTATGAATTCAACGATGTATTATAGTGTATAGTTGTTTTAATTATTCCGATGGAATTTTTGATTTAAGTTTTTTGATCTGTCTGTATTGACCGCTAACTCAACTTATACTTGCAACGTTGATAAGATCTTTGATAAGAACTAATTTTCCATTCGTTTTACATGTCATTTTCATAATTGCAAGATTAATTTCATCATCATATGATGAAGTACATTTATTGTGTAAACTTTCTACAATATACAGAGTACTTCCGATGTAGTAGTACAATTGAAAAAACGGTTAATCTACATATAAAAATAAGCTGAAAATGTAGAGTAAGAGTTTTTGATATAGTAACACTCATTCATCCATACTATGTTCGTTAAATCAGCTCCTATACATATTTCGCTTATTCTGACTTTAATTTTTATTAGAATATAATATTATTGTACATGTATATAATAACCAACATTATTCGACATAGCTTTTACAGTAGTGAAATTCTTCAAAAAAGTGTTTGAAACAAATATTTTTTACACCAAGCACAACGAAGTATAGCTAATTCTCCGCATATATCGCACCGATGAATTTTGTCAACCTGTTTTGTAAAACAATAATTGTTCGAGTTCGAGGTCGAAAATTCGCACGAATTTTCCGAATATGGCGGTGAGAGGAAGTTAATTGTCTGAATTCACGAGCACAACGTATACTTTACAAATATGTACACTATTTACAAGGGTCTGTTCGTCGAACAATGTAATTTGTTGAGATTGAGTTCGTATAATTCACTCACGTCGCGTCGAATCGAGCTTGAAACGAGATGTGTAAAGAACCACGTGTTGGCGCAACACGTGGTCACCACGAGATTATATTAATCTCGTGGATTTAAGCGAGTGTGCAATTCACGCTGTCGCGTAGGCCGTCGGCACGAATATCGCGAGTATTTTGCGAGAGTTTTGGCGCTTGAGATCGAGATAAAACTATGGAAAATTGAATCGCTATTTCGCACGTGCTAGCTTCTACTAGAAACAGAACGATAATGGCCGCTCAACCCGCCTCGTCGCAGCGAGAACCGTTGGCTTTCTACTCGCTGACGTAACGTATGCTGATTGGTCGGCCTGACCGGCATCCAAGGTGGCTGCCGGTCGCGCTGCAGAGTGCTGCCGCGGTCCGCGTGAAGGCGGTAGAAATTACATTTTCGAACAATAATCGACTGGATTTTCATAGCGTTCCGGACGTTCTTCTATACATATATCCACTTTTGTACCACGAATGCTTAAACAAATTTTGGAATCTAGGTGAAGACAACTGATTATGGACAAGAGATTGGAGTTTTATGATATTATTTCGTTGATGTAAAATAACGTCATGATTCAATAAAATGACCTGATCGGAAAAAGTTTCTACGAAATTTTTCCATATTCGAAAACCAAAAATATCAAGAGGCTGTAGTCTTTCTGTCGTCTTTTTCGGTATCGTCAGAAAAAGTACTTCTTTTCCTTCAGGAACAAGATTTTGCAAAACATTTGGACAGTGTCCACTCCATGAATCTAGTAGGAGAACGCTTCGGGATCCCACGTTTGTTAAAAATATTTCAGTAAACCAAGTTTTAAAATGCTCTGAAATTAATTTGCCAGATTTTGAAGCAGAAACATGAACATTTGGAGCATTGAATAAACTTTCTTTTACTCTTGGTCCGAACTGTCCGCTTGATTCCTTTAAAACTATGTAAAGCGGTGAAAGCAATTTTCCATTTGCAGATACAGTAGGTTGTATGGTATAACTATGAGTGGTTGATGATATGGACTGTACGACAACTTCAATGGTTTTTGATCCCTTTGCAGCTAGCGTTCGACCAGAATGAAGTTCTAAATTAAAACCACTTTCGTCCGAATTAAATACATTTTCTACACCATAACTATTAATATTCGGTTTCACAACTTGAATAAAATTATCGATAACTGTATTTATTTCTTGAGAATTTTCACGTTCCCGGTAAGTTACAAATTTTGTTATTTTACGCGAAACTATTGCATGCAGTTTTTTAAATTTAAATATCCACCATTTTCCTGCTTTAAATGTTGACAAATCAATGTTTTCTTTTGCTTCTAATGCCCATTTTCGGATATCAATATCATGGACTATGGATCCTCTATCAAGAGCATCACGAAACATTGAAAGAGTAAAATCCGAAATATACAATAACTTATCTCTTCGCGTTCCACGGCTTCGACGTATTTTTCCCATCTGTACAACTGTTCACGTGATCGAACCTTTCGAAAATTATGTTGTACTGCTTTAACAGCTTTCCGTTTACCTGGTGTACTTTTCCAAAATTCTACCGCATTCTTTGTAAGTACATGTGAATTAAAATTACTTACTGAAGATTCGACTTTTCTCCTTTTGGAACTTTTTGATAAGTCTTTAAATTCTTTATCACATTTTCCTGTGTTGGATGTATTCAGATTTTTTTGTGGCGTTAAATAAATTTCAGTATCTTTATTAAACCAATTATTTTCTTTCTTCAAAAAGTTTGAATAGGATCAATCGCATTTTTTCCACTTCTCGACTACGTTTTTACAAAACTTTTGCATTTCTACAATAATTTAATTGTAAAACGATTATTGTCAATACCAGTTACATTACTTTCGAAATTTTCATAAATATATAAACAAATCTCTTTGCATTTATCTTCTTTTAAAAGATTATTATGCCAAACCTTAAAGATATCTCGTCTATTTATGCTGATCAAATCTAAAAAAACCGTAAATATTTTAATACACCCGCAAAAAGACGCACTTGGAAATAGTTATATTTTTAACCGACTTCTAAAAGGAGGAGGTTACTCAATTCGATCGGTATGTATGTTTTTTCTTTTTTTTGCGTGTTCACCGCTTACTCCGAGATGGATGGACCAATCGGAACGACACCTTTTGCATCTTGTAGGGTATGTCTTCCGATTGGTCCCATTGAAAAAAAATTTTCCATTTTTTCATTGTTATTGCAAAATACAGGAAGTTTTTAATGTCAATGTGTTTAGAGGGGGGCGAGGAAAACCGGGGGGGGGGTCCGGACACACAAAAATACACCAACGAAAGAATGCCCGAGGTAGTCCCTTAGACGTAGTCAGTTTATTAAAAATTCAAAATCACAGAGACAATTGAGGACGGCCGTTACACCTTGCGGTGCGATCCGCTCGTTCGAGGAGTACAATCAGGTGGTTTCGACACGTCACTCGAGGAGCACAGAAAACGTTCGTAAAATTTACGGAGGAGTCACTTAGTACACGAGGTGTCCGATCCAATTCGAAAACCGTCCGTTCGGTTGCACGAGGCGACCGTTCCACGCTGCGAGCACGTGGCGAGGTTACTACGGGATATCCGGAAAGAAACACGAGGTTGACCGTAAACCGCGATGAGACTGAATTATCTTAGGTCTTACACCGTTCACGGAGGCGCCGGGTAATCCCTTCTTACAATCCAGACCCGATCTGTTCTCAAGAAATACACAAAATCGCAGATTGTACGGAGCACGAAGTCGACTTGATCGTTTACAGAAACGCAATATGGCTACGCGGCACGCGTCGCGCCTTGCCGAAAAGTAGTTCCCGAAAAAGAACGCGGGGCGGCAGCACCTCCCGGACGGGCCCCGCGCGACGAGGGGACCCTTTTTACTCGCGTTCACGCAACACAATGACCTTTTAATATGTTGTCGGGGACATGATTCTAAATAACTTTTTCATTATGCATAATTAACGGAAAGCTTTAGTTTCCGAGATATTCGTGAGAAACTATTGTTACTACTACATTGAATTCTACGTATGCCTACGTGTCTCTACCGGTGTATGAGTCAGCATGCAGTCGTCGATTCTCTACTGTTTCTTGTATACATGTATGTACATATTCTCTTCAAGGCATGTACCGATTGCGATGAAACCTTTCGCATCTAATAGGAGATATTTCTGCGATATCTCATTTGCAAAAATTTATGCAATTTGTTATTGTTAATAACTATTGTTATAACTTGTATGGAACTTGTTATCGTTAAAAACTATCGTTATTGCAATTAACCAATAAGAACGGTAAACCACCTACAAATACTACTCGTTCCAGTAAAAAGTGTGAAATAAAATAATTTTTAACAAAAAATACAACCGACTTCGAAATGCACTAAAAAGTATGAAATAATTTTTACTTCATTTATACACATACCCAACAACTATTAATAAAACTTATTTACTCGTTAAATAGTGTACTAAATAGTTGTCGACACCTGAACTAGAATCTTCCTAGTAGAAGAAAAGTTTTTAATTTTGCGCCGCCTCCGAAAAGGTTGAAATGTATTTAGTATACTATTTAACGAGTAAATAGGTTTTATTAATAGTTGTTGGGTATTTGTATAAATGAAGTAAAAATTATTTCATACTTTTTAGTGCATTTCGAAGTCGGTTGTATTTTTTGTTAAAAATTATTTTCAACAATTAGAGTTGGGCTACAAAATAAAACAAAAACGAAGTCGGGCACTGACGGGCATCAATAATTATTAACCTCCAAACATTATTTTTATAAAACATTTTTAACTAGCAACGATACGCCTGAAGAACGAAAGCGAAACATTGGCGCGTGTTTAGAGTGAGATGTACGGTGATCGTGCTACCCTTCTTTTAACCCAAATGATAGAATTGTCCCGCTCCGATAAATTCTGACTAACCAAACGCGTGGATTTTATATAGCGCACCGTAGCACCCCTCGGTGCTGAAAAATATACGTCTACTGTGAAGAACCAAAGGAACGTGCAATCTGAGAATTATTTTTAGAAAAAGTTATTAACTTCTTTAAATAAATGTTTTTTAATTAATAAAAGTATACAGGATACGCCATGCAATTGGGACGGGTTATATCTTGAATTTGGTAAGAGATAGGAAATAGCTGTTTATGTAAAAGTTCAATGGTATGATAATGTTTATTTTTCTATGACTTCATTTTCTTCATGAATGCAACGATGCACTCAAAAAATGCAAATCCACTTTTTATTTCAATGGAATTGCATTTTTTTTTACTTGTGTCAACTCCTTGAAACATTCTGCATAAGAAAGTACTATGGTACTATTAGAACTAATAAATGGAGGGACCTCACATATGTATATCCAGCCGAGATGTCGAATCTCGAATTAGATGCGATGACCAGCCAAGCGTGAACGTAGAAAGGGACAGACAGTGGAAACTTTTACTAGCGCATTGGTGAAATTTTTCTGATTAAAATGATACCACACACGATATAATTTGAATGGGACGAGGTTTGTTATGGGGCGCTGTGAAAAATCCAGACGGGGGGCAGTCAAATCTTAGCGAAAAGGACAATCTCAACATTCAGAATGAGAGAAGGACAGCATGACTGTAGTGCGTCTCACTCAGCGTTCGGACGATGTTGCCTTTTTCACTTGTGTTCACGCGTTTCGTCGCCGTGAGGAAGGAGGCGATTGGAAGACTCGGTGAATTTTGAAGAGGTGCCGGACGATAGGACGATGCGATGTTTAAGAAATAACCGGAGTCGATTTCGGTGAATTAAATGTATTTAAGCTCGTTTTTCGACGGTTGTACAAATTTGACAAAGGCTTAATGCTAAGAGTAATAAAATGATAAACTTGAAGAAAGACTTTATTCTGTATCCGCGTACTCCCGAAGCAGCAGAGTTCGGAATTCTGGCGAAGCGCGACGTTTCGGCGACCGAAGACAGATTAAGAATAACGAACCAGCGGTTAAAATTCGCCCGCTTAAATATTGGGGAGCCCCCTTTGTTCCAGGGGCCGGCCGCCCGTCACCTCTCCGCCGAACTCGTCACGCTCCGTCGACCAGGCGAGTCGACGAAACGGTAGCGAGGCGACATGTAAACACCTGGCACAAAGGGGAAGACTGTTGCGTTATTATAGAACGGTTTAGATTCTCAATAGAGCCTATTATTAGATAACTGAATTGATTTATGGTGCTCTATTTCGGGAATCCATAAACGACTAGAAATCCGTAAAGATGTGTTGAAAGTCTTAACCGTTTTAAACTAAGTTTACATATTTCAAATTTGAAACGTTCGGTTTTCTCCCGAACAACTTGCCTTCGCAGCACAGTTCGAGTGACGTAATCAAGCTAACGCTTGATTCAGACTACGATTCCAAATCGGCAGCCTATGGGGGCTTATCCCACATTTAAATTGAATGAATTGCGTTTAAATTGTAATAATATATTTGAAATTGTTAATATAATGATATACACGTCCTTTGGGTTTAAAGGCTTTTGGAAGAAGCTTCTGTTTGTGTAATGTCTAACTGAAGGATCTTAAGCCCCTCCTCCTGTTTTGTAGATATCTTGCTAACATCTCTCACTTGTTTTCTAGTTAATGTTGGATGGGGTGTCCTTGCTAGATCAAGGAGAGATTTTGGAGTTCCAGTGATGGCTCCTGATTGAACGTTCTCAAAAGTTTTGTCTCCAAACTCTTTTTTCCAGACAATGGCACAACCTGCAAGATATTTGAAGTTAGTGGCGTTCAAAGTTGGATCATTAGGTTTTAAGATTCTATAGTAAGGCCAGAGGTGTTTCAATTCATCTTTAAGTCGGTCTACTGCAGGCATAAAAGCTGCGACGTCCGCATGAAATCGCCGTGCCTTCAATCCACTCACTTTTACCCTCCCTTACTACCCTCTTCTTCATCTTCTCCAATGTAAAATCACCCTGTCCCGGCATCACAAAGTCTCTTAACTCCTGGATCGAATCCTCCCACTCCACGATCACTCCCTTCCTCACCAGTTTCCGTTCGGGAAGAAAAGCGTTATTCGCGGCGCCATCTTCTTCTGCGAACTTCAATATGGCGTTTGCGGCAGCCATCTCGCTGCAAGTAATTTCAGCTTTGTTATATCCGATCGTTTGAAAACCTTTAAGGAAACGGGAGAACTTCCCCAGCAACTTGTAAATCTTAACCGCATTACTTTTTTTCATCCTGCTTGAGCACTCCTTCAAAACTATCGTGACTACATACTCTTTGCTTTTCAGTTTTTCACTATAGAAATTCTTCTTCTCACTTCTAAATTTTCCTCTATTTTGTTTTCCAGGCGTGTCCTTCCGCCTTTTATTCGCCTCTTCTTCATCTTCTTTATAGCCCCCAACGCTGCTTTCCTGCGTAGTCTCAGAAAGACTGGGCGCTTCTTTATCACCTTCAATACCACCTAAATTCTTTTCGTTAGTAGGTGACAAAACTTCCACCTCCTTCTTGTCGCGCTTGTTACCTTCCAAATTAAATTCCGCCAATTCTTCCGCTCCACGTTTTCGATACTTCTTCAGCTCTTCGAACCTCGACTTCTTCTCCTCGCCACAGAGCAAAGCATGTGACGCCGTACTTTCCGTCATTTCCGTTTCTTCCACAGCAGTGCTACCACCTTCGATAGGCTTCCCGCTGCTAGGGACTTCAGCTTCTTGAGCCGTTGCTTCTCCACTAGCTCCCTCTTCACTGGTTATATCACTCCTACCAACCTCCTCTACCTTTTCCACGATCAATCGGGCCTTTTCTCTGCTTCTCTTCACTTGTCTCCTTTGCCGGAAACTGCATAGCTTTTCTTCTATTAACGTTGCTCTCACTCTCACTCTTGCTTTTATTTTTCATCTTCGAATTCCCATCACTCTTCCTCAATTTTAGTCTTCTTTTAACTCCTTCTCCACCTTGCGACACGGGGCTGTCGCAGGGCAGAGCCACACCCTCAACCTCCTCTATTTCCCAACTTTTGCAAACTTTTCCACTGAAAAACCCCTGGAAAACTCGCGCTCACTAAAAACCCCCCAGGAAATTCACTTTCCACGTAACACCACCCCCGGAAAAAATTTTATCCCCAAATTCTGCCCAAACTCTCATCACACCCTAAACTCACGTCCCTAGACTCCGCAACATTAAAGAATGCCTCGCCCGTCTTGCGCAGATTTGAAAAGGCAACATGCTCAGATTGTGGTATGAATGAGCCATTTTCCAGGTACCTATCCGCAGCAAGTTTGGGGTAATAGGTCCTATCATACACCTTCGCAACTCCTATAGCATTTATGCTACGAGATATTTGGTCTGGAAATACGACATGACTTTTACAAAGTTGCATAAAGTCTGCAGAATTGTGCAGCTCCTGAAAATCGTCATGACGGTCAATTACCATCGATACAGCACGTTGACAATGTTGGATCTTAGATTCAATTAACGCTAATGATACGCGGTAAAACTGAATCACGTTTCCTCTCGCTGGTATATTGCGGAGGTCTAGCATTGCGAGAAAGATTGATATCGATCCGAACCCTATACTACGTGTGGTGATACAAAGAGTTATAGCTTTTAGAGTATGTATGGATTCTAGTCTTTCCGCAGCGGATTGTTCGTTTTTAACCCCTGGAAGAAGTTTCTCACGAAGTGCTTTTGACAATTCGGCGTCTATGAGAGCACCCCTATCCTTACGCAACTCGTCGACTCGCTTTCGTTGGAATGTACGGCGGGCCGGTGAAAGTCGGTGTCTCGCAGTTGGCGGGTGATCGCCAATATCGCGGGCCAAGAAAGGCCTCGCCTCTGCACTCGTCGGTACATTAACTGCGTCTACTACTGCTTTGGAATATTTTTGAAAACGCTTTGACATCTTAAGATCGTTTTCTGAGCTGCAATCAGTTCAGACTCCGCTCGCTCATTAAGCTTGGTTGCGAACCGGCAATTGAGCGCTCCAGGTCCGTCGTGGAACCTTTGCCGCCTTGCCGACAAAAGAATCTACGCTACTGAAAACCTATGCGATAATCGTATCATAGATTCGTGTCGGACTACGATCAGAATCGAAGTGAGCTCGCTCTGCTCGGCGCGCTCGTATTTATACCTGGAGATTGCTGACGTAACAGTTTTTTCTACATGTACTTTTAATACCGGAAGTGTTTGGACTTTGACCTGTGTGTATACACGTGACTCCGCGCGTATCGCTATCTCTCTCTACGCGTAGTTGCTATCTCTTTCTATTCTGTGCGCTGTTGCTATCTCTTTCTACGCTCTGTTGCTATCTCTATCTGTTACGCGTGCTCTATGTCGATCTTTTATCGACGCGGTAGTGTTATCGATACGACAATTTTCGATCTATATTTCGGAGTAAGTTTTTGTTAAATATTAATAAATACAAGATTCTTTTTAGCTATTGAATATGAATATAATTATTAGCATAAATCAGAGTAATACAAAAATAAATAAATGAACTGTTACAAAATTTAATTATATAAAAACGAAAAAATAAATAAATGTTTTCATAAATAATAAAATTTTTTTTTATTCATTCCTTTTGCTGTCATTCCTCTTCTTGTGGGATGTTACACTAATCTTTATCTCTCTCGAGCGAACTTGAGTTTTTGTGCGTTGATATACTATTACTATGGTTGAGCGCCGATAATTTCAACGAAGATTACAAATATTATTGAAAACTATTATTATATAATAATGTACATCCTTGTACATCCTCACATAGAGGTGACTCTCATAACCCGAAGGCTTGATGAGGGTGCACAAGGTCGAGGAGGAATGAAAAAGGTTGGCGGAAAAGAAAAACATCCCCCTCACGCCCCTTACATGAGACATTCTCGTAACCCAAAGGGCTTGATAAGGGACGCAAGGCTGATAAATTTTCATTTTCCGCCGGGGCGTAACACTGCCGTTACTTATGAAATAACCAACCAACTATAAGTTTCCAATTATAAAATAAACCGCGAATCATGAAAACTAAGGCTTGCGTGACTGGTTTCATTTGCATTTCAAAAGCACCATAATCTTGGAAGCCTTCAATTTTTTGTTTTTTTTGAATGAAAATCAAAAAACTTTATCGTCATTTCGTCGAACAGTAACGCGCAATTTTATTCAGAACCATCCACCCACGATACCTTTTTATGTAACTACGTAAAAAAGGTCGGACAAGTGCTCGACCACATTTCAATGTTTCGAAACCATCTATACTCATTGTCATAGCACATGGTAAACGAAAAACGAAATCGTCACAAAGTTTTCTAAATAAACTCGGTGACAAATAATGCATTGATACTATTGATAGACAAATGTGTTGCTCGTCCGCAGGAAATACAGGATGTGGATACAGTTGCATTAACATGAACGTCTTTACTTCGTTCGAAACTTTGTCTTTTATGTTTCGAACGAAATCTGATTCCGTCATTTCGTACGACTCTATTTTACGTTTTAATACTAACATCTGTTTATTTTTTCTAGCTAGCAGTTTACGCAATTTCTGCGTTGCTAATTTCAGCTGATCAATTTCTTTCTGCCTTGTTTTAGAAGCATTCTTGATACGCTTTCTTTCGGCACTGTTCGATTGCATGGCCGATATTTTCACAAAATGTGCATTATCAGCAATTTATGCTCAGGAAAGTGGACGGTGGCTCGAAAAAGTTTGAGAACCTATGTATTATAGCATAGTTACCACATATAGAACAACGTGGTGGGTTTATAGAATTTTGTTGAGCAGAAGTAAAATGTATTGGATTTTCAAAGTTACTTGGTTTCTCTTCGATATACCCACTTTTGTACCATGCATATGAAAACATATTGTGATATTTTGGTGCCGATAGCTGATTATGTACTAACGAATGAAGTTTAATAATATTATTTCGAAGATGCAAGTTGATGTCATAATTTTTTAATATTACGTGGTCGGAAAATTTTCTGATAAAGTTCTTCCATGTGCGGAAGCCATATACATCTAATGGTTGTATCAATCCTGTGGTTTTTTTTGGTATTATTTAAATTTCCAAATCTTTATTTGGCGGCACATTTTTTTTTAATGTTTCCGCACAATGATCAGTAAATGAGTCTATTAATAAAACACTTTTTTGTCCTGTATTGGGTAGATAACACATCGGTCAAAAAGTCACGGGACTTACAACGAGGAAAACTTTTTTTTTTTCAAAATTCGACTTTATTCATCAACATAGTCTCCTTCAAGAGTGATACATTCATTCCAACGCTTCTCTAACATTTCGATGCCTTTCTTATAGAACGATTTGTCGAGGCCTTCAAAAAACGCTTCAGTCTCCGATATGACTTCATCATTTGTCCCAAATCTCTTTCCCTGGAGCATCCTTTTGAGATTTGCGAACAGGTAATAGTCGCTGGGAGCCAGATCTGGCAAATACGGCGGGTGGGGAAGCAATTGAAAGCCCAATTCGTGCAGTTTTGTCATCGTAACCATCGACTTGTGATACGGTGCGTTGTCTTGGTAAAAGAGCACTTTCTTCTTCGCCATATGGGGTCGCTTCTTTTTGATTTCATCCTTCAATCGGTCCAATAACGCTGTGTAATATTCACTATTGATGGTTCTTCCTTTTTCAAGGTAGTCAATGAATATTATGCCATATGCATCCCAAAATACGGAGGCCATAACCTTTCCGGCCGATTGTTGCGTCTTTGGCCGCTTTGGACGGCTTTCACCCGCTGCTCTCCACTCAGCTGACTGCCGATTTGATTCTGGAGTATAGTGGTGGATCCATGTTTCATCCATTGTCACATACCGACGCAAAAAATCCTGTTTATTCCGCTTAAACAGCTCCAAGCAGCGCTTTGAATCATCAGCACGTTGTTGTTTTTGCTCCACAGTGAGCAAACGCAGCACCCATTTGGAAAACAGTTTTCTGATTCCCAAATTTTCGTGCAAAATACTGTATGCACTGCCTTTTGATATCTTTAGGGTGTCAGCTATCTCCTGCAACTTCACTTTACGGTTATCCAAAACAATTTTAAGGACTTTTTTGATATTTTCTGGTGTGGTAACCTGTTTCGGACATCCCGAGCGAGTAGCATCATCGGTGTCAGTACGACCACGTTTAAACTCAGCAAACCACCGACAAATGCTTGATTTCGACGGAGCAGATTCTCTATAACACTTTTCAAGCCATTGCTGAGCTTGAACGGTATTTTTTCCCACACACAGTGGGATAATTAAACAGTGTTTAATCAACACACGAAAATCGGTTTTCTTCATTGTCTTGAAAATAACAAAAGTAGCGTCACTAAAAGCGCTACAACTCAATGAATAATGGTCGAAATCCCATGAAATTTTGCCACGTATCTTTTGAAAGTTGGTATTGATGAACTATGGGATGGATTTTTTTTTAAGGCGCTATCTGTGGATTAGTCCCGCAACTTTTTGACCGATGTGATATACATTCATTAAACATTCATTGAATAATTCTTTTATTAATTTTCCCGAAGTTGATGCAACCAAATAAACATTCCACGGTTTAAACATTGACTCTACTACCTTTGGCCCGAAATTGCCTCCTTGTTCCTTTAGAACAAGAAAGAGAGGAGAAAGTAATTTACCCGGCGCTGAAACTGTACGAAGTATTGTGTAACTATGGGTCGTAGCGGACAGATTAGACAACAGTTTCTACAGTTTTTGATCCTTGCATTGCTAAAGTACGACCAGAATGCAACTCTAAATTAAATCCATTTTCGTCAGCATTGAATACATTATCTGCCTCAGTATTTTTAATGTAAGATTTTACGCGATTAACAAAAGAGGAGGCAATTTCGTCCAATTTAGCAGAATCAGTTTCGTATGAACGGGTAATAAATTTATTTATTTTTCTAGAACCTTTTTGAAACACCATAACCAATGTCGAAATGCTTTAAATTCTTCTAGTTTAATTACTTCATTTGCTTCTAAAGTCCATATTCGGATATCTAAATTGTGGATAATAGCATGACTTTCTGTTAAAGTTGTCTTTATGTTTTTACTTTATGGTTTACTTGTAATGAACACTTTAATTGAACCGAAAGCGTTTCTATTATGATTAATATAAAAATGGATTTAAACGGATTACAACTTTTATCAACGAACAGAACAATAGAATGAAGCGTGAAACGTAAAAAGTAATGGGCCGGATGCCAGACCATAGCGCCGTCACGCGCATACTTATAGTACTAACGCATTTGACATTAACGTACCTTTTTCAAATTTTATTT